TGGGGAGCTGGAGGGGCTGAGTCTAGACCACAGATGTCCAATAGAAATATAATGTGACCCACCTATGTAATTGGAAATTTTCTAGTAGCCAAAGTAAAAAGAACCAAATCAAAATGATTTTAATTGGTAAAATATTTTTTATCATCTGAACACGGGTTTACATTGATGACACAAACATTTTTCAAGTTTTTTTCAGCCAGGCACAGTGGCTCATGCCTGTAATCCCAACACTTTGGGAGGCCGAGGAGGGAGGAATGCTTGAGTCCAGGAGTTCGAGACCAGCCTGGGCAACAGAGCAAGACTCCGTCTCTACGAAAAAAAACCAAAATTAACCAGGCATGGTGGTGCCCACAACTATAATCCCAGCTATGCAGGAGACTGAAGCAGGAGGATGTCTTGAGCCCAGGATTTCAAGGTTACAGCGAGCTATGATCATACCGCTGCACTTCAGCAAGACCCTGTCACTAAGGGAAAAAATTTTTTTTTTGAGGGGGTCTCTTTATGTTGCCTAGGCTGGTCTTGAACTCCTGGGCTCAAAGGATTCTCCCCTCTCAGCCCCCACTCCGCAAGTAGCTAGGAACAGGCACACACCATCACACCTGGCAGTTTTAGGGTTCTTTTTAAATCAAACTTCTAAACATGAATCTTCACAATCTTGGAGAAAAAGTCCTTTTGAATAAAATGACTGGTCTAACGAGTGTGATTTTAGGAAAGACTTCTGAGTAAGCTTGATTAATTTCCTTGATCAAAATATGAGATTTGATTTTCATGATGAAAAGCTATTCGAAACTGTCAGAATCTCGGGTTTTAGCACCAGAGATGTCAGGGTGGAAATCTGCCCTCGGTTCTTGGTATGCTCCTGGCTGAAGAATGACCAGATACACTAAAGTGTCAAGTCCACACTATTATCCCGGTCCTCTGACTCCTTTCTGGGAAAAATCACCAGCAAGGCCAATACGACGAAGTAACCTCAGGCAGGGAGCAGTTTCCCAGGAGCAGCTCTTGCGTGTAGACTAACACGGGTCTGTCTTCCAGTGGAGAGAGACCAACTCACTCACCCACTGATTCACTCACTTACTACTGACTTCTCAGATTGTTTCCTTTTATTAGCCCAGTCTGAGAGAGGGCTTTTGGGAGGTGTAGGATGTTATCAAATGATCAAAAAGTGTCCTCAATATTCCATTTATATATACAGCTCCCTCTAAGAAAGCCCACCAGGGGTGGGGTGGAGGGGGGTAAACCACAATGCAAATTCAAGCTAATGGCATATTAATTACCCTCAGGTTACTCTAGGTCACTTTCTAAATCCTATCATGCCTGGGCTGGGGAATTCTCAGATGGATAAAGCATTCCCTGCTTCCCCAGGTGTAGCAGTTGCTCTGGATAGGATTAAGGGTAGGGCAACACCAAAATGGAGTGCCCACTCTTATCCTGCTTCCCAGATGGAGCAACTGATCAAAACAGCACCAAAACAGGGAACCCTTGTCCGAGAAGAGCCGGAGACCCTAACTATCTACCTAACAAAATTAGCTCCATTCACAGATTAATTTTTTTTTTTTTTTTGAGACAGAGTCTCACTGTGTTGCCCAGGCTAGAGTGCCGTGGCATTAGCCTAGCTCACAGCAACCTCAAACTCCTGGGCTCAAGCGATCCTCCTGCCTCAGCCTCCCGAGTAGCTGGGACTACAGGCATATGCCACCATGCCCGGCTAATTTTTTCTATATATTTTTAGTTGTCTGATTAATTTCTATTTTTAGTAGAGACGGGGTCTCGCTCTTGCTCAGGCTGGTTTCGAACTCCTGAGCTCAAACAATCCGCCTGCCTTGGCCTCCCAGAGAGCTAGGATTACAGGCGTGAGCCACCGTGCCCGGCCCACAGATTAATTTTGATGCTCAATATTTCATTTCAACAGTTTCAGTCCTAATCCCAAATCCTATCAATACCCATAATATACAAGACCTAATCTAGAGTGCTAATATGGCAATATTTGTCCAGATTAATTTTTAAAACCCTTAAGTCAAAATGACATCCTTTATTTGTGGCAATCTGTTTACGACTTCAGTAGCAATCCAATTTTTATGGCACAATTAAATCAAAATCTGATTGTGTTAGGGAAGTTAGTCAGGGTGTGAATAGGGTGGGAGGAGGGACCCTCTATATAAAAATCTCTGGTAAGAGGAGCTCACTCCACAACTGAGCTGTCGGTGGAAACAGGTGGAGGCTAGAGGAGGACCTAGTGGAGGAGAGGTGAGTCCGATCTTACGTGATTTCTTTCTTTACTTATTAGATTACTGCAAAGGACAGATATTAGAGGACAAGGTCTGCGGAAAGTAGTGGTTATTAATTCAACAAGTGTTATCTGAGGCCGACTCAATGCCAGGCACTTAGGGATACGGGGTCCTCTCCTAGGAGCAGAAACTAGATTTTCGGTACCCAGGCTGGAGAAATTACTGTCTTCAATTTACTTAACCATAGCTTGGCTGACTCTATGAGATGATGAGATGATGAATGGAGTTTCTCCCTTGGATTTATTCAACCTCTCAGCTACCAGAAGAGGGTTTTGCCACAACCAGATTGGAACAATTGGGCTTAGGGGTGGGAATGTTGGAGAGTCTTTGGGTCTAGACCACAGCTGCCCAGTAGAAATATAAAGCAACTCACACATGTAATTATACATTTTCTAGGAGCCACATTAAATTAGGAAAAAAAGTCAAATTGTAATACAGAAAATGTCGTATTATTTCAGCATTTAATCAATCTCTAAAAGTTCTTAACAAGATAATTTACATTCTCTTTTTCTCATTATGTCTTCAAAATCCAGCGTACATTTTTTACACTGAAAGTACATCTCGATTCCTATAAACTGAGCTGGATGGCTGAGTCTCCACCATTTCATCACACTGACTTTCCAAAGAAAGAACCAAGTCCCTCATTCCAACTAGCATTTCAAATATCAGAAGTTCAAGGCCAGGAGTCTTTTATAGATGTATTTATGATGCACTTTCATTACCTGTTACTAGGCACTGATATTTCTATGCATGGACAGATGAAAGAGCCTCAGAAAGTGTTGTCATTCAACTCATGGAACTCCAATATCATGTACATTTTTCCACAGATAGGGGCCATGGCTGAACAATTTAAAGAAGCAAGTAAATGTCTCATCTGCCTATCTTATCTTGAAAAACCCATGCTCCTCGATTGTGGCTTTATCTGCTGCCTCCAATGCATCAGCTCACTCCGGAAGGAGCCCAGCGGGGAAGGTGTCTCATGCCCCTCCTGTTCCGTGGTCACTCAGAAGAATGACATCCGGCCCAATTACCAGCTGGGGAAGATGGTTTCCAAAATCAAGGAACTAGAGCCCCAGCTGAGAGCAATTCTATACCAGAACCCAAGAATGCTGAAGTTCCAAGGTAAGCAATCTGTACAACCTCCTCTCAGCCCATCAATGGCCCTAGAAAAAGCAACTGTTCAAAAGGTTCTCCATTATATATGGGCACTAGCTGAGTTCTGGCACCTGAAATATTTATGCCCCCTGAGTAACAGTTCTCACCTCTGAGCATAGATTAGAGACAACTGGAGATTTTGAAAGAAAAATAATATTTCAGCCACGTTCTAGCCCTGCGCTGTCCAATATGGTAGCCATCAGGGGCTACTGAGCCCTTGAAACACGGGTAGTGCCCCACATGGAAATGGGATATATGGACTTATACGTTATTTAAGGTAATTTTGCATGTTGTTACTTTTTTAATATGTCTACAGAAAATTTTTAAATTATACACGTAGCTTTCATTGTATTTCTTTGGGCAGAACTGACCCAAAACATAGCTTCTCAAACTTGAACGTGCATTAAATTACCTGGAGATCTTGTTAAAATGCAGATTCTGATTCTATAGCATGGGGCTGGCCTGACAATCTGGATTTCTGACATTTATAAGTAAAATTGTTTTTCCATCATTTGAAATATTTGTTAGATATCTATATTTGGATTGAGTCTGTGCTAAATTTTATAGTTTTGAGAGTAAACAACAATCACGGTCTGTCTTCATGGATCTCAAGAAGGGAGAAAAAAATCTTTAATAAAATAAAGGGAAAAAATCTTTAACAAAATAACCAAAAAACTTAACGTGAAAAGAATGCCTAGTATAAGAGGGACTTGTAAAAATGTATTCATTGATTCTCTATATGAAATTTGACTTAATTATGGAATCAATCTTTCCACAGTGGACATGACCTTGGACGTTGACACGGCCAACAATCGACTCATCATTTCTGATGACCTGAGGTCTGTCCGTTGTGGACCTCTCAATCAGAATCGCAGAGAGTGTGCTGAGAGATTCAAACATGTAATCTGTATCCTGGGCTCCCCTCGGTTCACCTCTGGACGCCATTACTGGGAAGTGGACGTGGGGACAAGCAAAGAATGGGACCTGGGTGTTTGCAAAGAATCTATTGATCGACAAGGGTCAATTCTACTGTCTTCAGAATCTGGCTTCTGGACTGTGGGTTTGAGAGATGAAGAGATCCTTGCAGCCAGCACTGTGCCTCTAACTGCCCTCTCGGTGAGTCCCCGGTTACGTAGAGTAGGCATTTTCCTGGATATGGATGTTGGAACCATTTCCTTTTATAACCTTAGCGATGGATCCCACGTCTTTACATTCACTAAGGTGTCTGCTGCAGAGCCACTGCGTGCATTTTTTGCTCCTGAAAATTCAGTTAACAATGATCAAGGCCTCCTGAGTATCTGTCCCGTGATAAATCTGGGCACTGCCAGGTCTCCAGTTCATCCTGAGCAAGGCAGATAAACTTTTAGCCACAAAAACCATGTAGAGAAAATCACTTTGTGCTTGAAGCTAAAAACATTTCTGCTTGGTTCAACACATGGGACAAATTTACAGCAGAAACATATGGAACATTTCATGAATCACGAATATAAATTAAGTAGACATTTCAAATATTAAATATCGTCATGGTTGTCTTTTGGGTTTTATGTTTATATTTCTGTTCCAATAAATACATTCTAAGCTCTCAGATCAACTTCCAAATGTTTTCCTTTTTATTTTCTGTAAGAGCTGTGTGTCAAGGAGATTATAAATTAACATTTGGATGTGATCCAACTGATCATGTGATTTTGTAAATGATGAAGAAACAAGACCTAATATAAATAATAAAAATATATGTATGTAAGTATCCAGTTAAAAAATGAACAAATACCTGTATAATATACAGAAGTTAGAAGACAAATTTTCACCATCACAACAAAGTTTATCTAACATTTTCTTGAACCTGACCTTGTCTGTGCCATAAAAACTGAACCATTAAGTCTCTAACTTAGGTTATACTCCTGGGAGTAGCTGATGTGCTCACTCATTCTGTCCTCTGCCATCTACATTTAATAGAGAAGCAAGGCATGGATACCCACTATCATTACTTCTTCTTTCCAAAAAATCAATAAAATCAAATAATCTTTAGCAAGATTGACCAATTTAAAGAGGGAAGACACAAATCATCATTATCTAGAATGAGTGAGGGAACTAACTACCAGATCTACAGGTAGAAAAAGGATACTATAGAATACAGAAAAAGGATGCTACAGAATATTACATAGTTATGCCCATAAATTGAGCAACCATAATACTAAACACATACAAAGACATGTAAAAAGAAAACTAAAGACCTACAAACTTGTCATAAGCATAAATGCAAAAATTCTTAAAATATAGTATATAGCAAATTGATTTATCAATATATTAAAGTACTACATTCTGACCAAATGGGTTGTACTGAGGGATTGCAAGGATATTTTGACATTAGAAAATAATGTAATTTACTCCATCAACAAAAAAAAACTATCATCATGTCAATAGGTGCAGAAAACATTTGAAAAAGTTCAACATCCATTAATAATAAAAACTATCAGCAAACTAAAAATACAAAGGAACTTCCTCAACCTGGTAAAGGGGATATCTTTGAAGAGTCTAAGGAAATCATGCTTAATTGTGAAAGACTGAATGTTATTCCTCTGTGATCTGGAACAAAACAAAGATAACTGGTCTTATCCAACCTCATGCCACCAATTTAGCCCGTGCAATAAGGTGAGAAAAAGAAAGGATACATATTAATACATACAGAAAAGAAAATAATAAAATCCCCTCTGTTTTTAGATGACATGATTAAAAATGCAATAAAATCAATTTTTACAAATGTTAACTCATTCACTATTCAGAACAACCCAAGGGCAGATTCTGTTACTATCTGCACCTTGAAGAAGAGGAAACTGAGGCTCAGAGAGGTTGTCGTGCAGGTCCTGCGGGAGGAAGATGTGCGCCGAGAGGAGGAAGTGGCTGGATAGCAAAGGACAAGCATGCAATAGGAAGAGTCCAAAAGAGTGAAGAGTAGAGGACACTTCCTGACACATTCTGTGACGTTAGCATTACCCTGATCCCAAAGCCACACGCAGATGGTGCAAGAAAAGGGAACCGCAGACATGTGTGTGTCAGTGGGTGAGAAAAGGGCCACAAGAAGACTGTGTGCACATGTGTGTTAGAGCATGTGCGTGTAGGCTGTGGGGCAGAGCATGGAGGACAGACTGAGACACGGCATAACGGTGTGAGTGAGCGACACTGGAGGAGAGAGTGAGAGTGTATGTGAGGCGTGTGTGATAAAGGGGTGTGTGTGCGTTTCAGAAACTATTCCAAAAAAATCAAGGAGGAGGGAATTCTCCCTAACTCATTCTATGAGGCCTGTATCACCCTGATACCAAAAACAGACAAGGATACGACGAAAAAGTAAGCTATAGACTAATCTCCCTGATGAACACAGACACAAGAATCCTCAAGAAAATGCCAGCAAACCAAATCCAACAGCATACCAGAAAGATAATACACTGTGATCCAGTGGTTTCTTATACCAGAACCACAAGGATGGTTCAACATACACAAATCAACAAACATGATACATCACATTAACAGAATCAAAGACAAAAACTTGTGATCACCTTGATAGTAGCAGAAAAAGCATTTGATACAATTTAACATCTTTTCATGATAAAAACCTTCAATGAACTAGGCATAGAAGGAACATTCCTAAAAATAATAAAGCTTATATATGACAAACCTACAGCTAACATTATACTGATGGGGAAAAGTGGAAAGTGTTTCCTCTGAGAACTGGAACAGGACAAGAATGCTCCCTTTCACCACTCTCGTTCACCATAGTACAGGAAGTCCCAGCCAGAGCAATCTGGCAAAAGAAAGAAACGAAAGTCATCCGTATTGGAAAAGAGAAAATCACAGTATCCCTCCTTGCTGATGATATGATCTTATACTTAGAAAAACCTAAAGAACTCACCAGACAACTCTTAGATTTGATAAACGAATTAAGTAAAGTTGCAAGACACAAAATCGATGTACAAAAATCAGCAGCATTTCTATATATCAATAATGATCTAGTTGAGAAAGAAATCAAGAAGATAATCCTATTTACAATAGCTACAAAAAAAAAAAAACGGTGGGGTTCTCAGATGTGGCAAGCTGGAAGAGGGCCCACCCCCCACAGGAAAACCACTTTGTTTGATTTGAGTGGGTTCTACCAGAGGAAGAACACAGCCCCGGGTGTCATAGCAACCAGGCATGGTTCATTCAGGCACTGGGGCCTCCCACCCATTCTCTCCCACCCATTCCAGTCAGGAGAGCAGCTTGTGGCAAGAAGTAGGCAAGCAGCTGCCTCCCTCAGCAGGCGTGGGCAACAGGCTGAGGCTTCTGTGGAAAGTGGGACCCACACCTTTCGCTCTGGAGCCTGCAGTAGATCCGGGGTGCCTGATTTGGGAATTCCCTGCCCAACGATGTTTTGCGGAGCCGCATGCCAGTGGGTTAGACAAGCAGGCCAGACTCCCTGCCCTCTGGACTCGAGCTGGTTGCTGGAGACACAGTGGGGAGGTGTGTGGGTTTGACTCGGGTGGTAAGGAAGCCTGTGCCCAAGACTCTGTGTGTGTGTTGTGGAGTCACTTCAGCACTCCATCACTTTACAACTCTGCCTTGGCCTTCACTATCCTCTAGGCATAAATCTCCAATTTCAGCCAGTGTTGAAAGCTTACATCCTTCTCAGTTTTTAATTGGGCATGCACATTTCCCTGAAATATGAATGTTCTTCTTGATCCCCAGGAATATGACATAGTTCATCGAAACCACCTACGGTAGACTTCTCAGATCTCCACTTCTCCTTATAAGTTTTTTGGCCATCCCTTTGTTTACTCAATCCTGTATCACCGCCTCAGGCACTTTCAAATAGCTATGATTGTTTCAACAAACATATTGAGGATAGATTATACCAAGCAAGCTCTGAGTCAATTCAAATTCAAATAAGTGCTGATAATTAGGCTTTTCCATGAGCTTCCAGAGAGCACAAAGGATGACAGATGTATTGTCTTGGGACTTTTTGGGGAAGTCCAAACCTATTATTTGGCTGCTTCAGTGAATGCTATTCTGTTTCTGTCCACAGATACAGAGATTTTGAGGTTGTTGATTTTCAAGGCTGCAGTGGATCTGGGGAGAGAGCAATGGGGCAGGCAAAAGAAAAAACCATGAAAATTCTAATTCTTATGGAGATTCCACTTTATTATTATTTTTAATGCTCTTAGATTGTTATAATCTTTTGGCAACTGTCCAGAGTTCTGAAAAAGTTAATTTAAA